TCCACGGGCTGACCTTATGGGCCACGTTAGCCCTCGGCTGGGAATGCCAATGTGGTCTACGGTCTCTTCGGCATTGCTGGTCACTGTTCTTGGTGCCATCTATGTCGGCAGCACCACTGCTTTCAACGCCTTCGTCGGCAGCTTCATTCTTCTCTCAAGCAGCTCCTACCTCGCAGCTATTCTTCCCAATCTCCTAGCAGGAAGAAAGCGAGTGGCTTACGGGCCCTTCCATATGCGCGGATGGGTCGGCTTCTTCATCAACGGTGTTGCCTGCACTTATATGCTGGTATGGTTCGTCATCTATAGTTTCCCTTCCACTCTTCCGACCAATGCTCAAACTATGAACTACGCCTGTTTGATTTGGGGTGGTCTCACGATCTTTGTTGGCCTATGGTGGCTTGTGGGTGCCAGGAAGGGCTACCAAGGCCCAACAACGACTGGTGGTGTCATCACAGAAGCACAAGCGGGTACTGCTTCTTGAGGCACATTTGAGGAGAATGTAGAGGTCATTTCGTAGCTTGTAGGGCAGTAATCAAGAAGCTAAGGCAAAACTTTGGACATATAACCTTCAGGATAAACGTTGCTGCCTTTGCTGTGAAACGAAGCAGATGCTGAAGATAACGTCACAATCCTGTGTCTTGATACATCGGACTTCCCACCGCCTTCATGTGGATCTCTTTTCCCGCTCGATGACCCAAGTGCTACCTCCAACCCTGACGAGACTTACGCATCGAATCGGAACGCCTCCTTTCTTCTCTCATTCTCCTCCGATGTCACACCTGCAATGGCCTTAACTGCCTCCCCCTTCATGACCTGGGCGACTGTCTTCTGGCCACTTGCGAGCTGCTTGTTGTATCGAAGGAGAATGAACCGCAAGACAAGGGCCGTGCATATAGCGAGGAAAGCGCCGCTAGCGTTAACACTCATGGCCAGTACGTGATGAGGCGCGTCGGAGTCTGGGTAAAGATAAGAGGTCCAGACCTGAAAGAAACCACGTTAGCATACTATTTGGGCCGCTGAAACTGGTGTTCTAAGCTTACTTGACTGGTGTTCGCAAGAGCATTGACAATGGCTACGGCAGAGGCACGCTTGATGCGAGGTCTGATCATGGTCTTCTGTACCCAAGCCAGCAACACTGCGTTTGTACCGTATGCGCCAATGGTCATGCAAAACATGGAAAAGTATCTGGGAGCCGTGCTCAAAGTTGTGGCAGCGATGATGTATCCCATGATAGCGATGCACATCGGCCAAATGATGTGAAAGCTTGCATTGTGAGTTCGGTCGGCCGAGTAGTTGTTGGCGATGGAGACGCAGAGAGAGACGAGGTAGGGCGGCGCAGTCAGAAGAAGAGTTTTGACGCGACCATACCCAAGAGTGTCGACGATATCGGGGAAGAAGTTTCCAACCGCAGAGCAGACCTAAGATACCCGGTCAATACTTTGAACTCATGATTCAGGACTTCAAAGGGGTATGATTTTACCTGGATGCAGATGAAAAGGAAGGTGAAGAGGTAAACTCTCCAATCCATCAGGGCAAGCTTGAAGCCGTACGACCATGGCTCATCGTCTTCATCAACCTGTCCAGCGTCTTTGACTAGACGCCACTCAGCAACAGCGCGCTCCTTGGGAGTCAGCCAGGATGTGGTTGACGGCCAATCCGGGAGCAGCCAGATGGCGAAGACACCAACGAAGATGGTGATGCACCCTGAATCAATTAGCAATTTTAATTTGACAAATTGGTAGGCAAAATATATGCTACTTACCCTCAATGATGAACAGCCATCGCCATGATTCGAGACCTTTGGCGCCGTCGAGAGAATGTTGAATTCCCGCGCCAATCAGACCAGAGAAGGCACTTCCCAGTTGACTGCCAGAGAACAAGATAGCTCCGCGGAAGCCCATTTCATCTCTCTTATACCATGATGAGATCAGGAATAGCGCACCAGCTGTGGAGAGAGTCAGTTCCGAGATTACTGAGGCCACTAACACCGGATTAGGACCACTCACGAAGAAAGGCTGCCTCCACGATTCCCAAGAAGAAACGAATGGCATAAAGTCCTGAAAGATTGGTGACGGCACCGGTAGCTGCGGACATGCCGCCCCACACAACGACACAAGCGGGAATGAATAGAGATGGTCGAATCTGGGTAAGGTAGATGTTCGAGGGGATTTGCATAAGGATATAGCCGACGAATAAGATCGAAACCGCCGTCTCGTACTGAGTGTCATCAAGTCTCAGACTATCCTTGATACCAGCGACTTTGGCTGCGGCAATGTTTTTCTGTGGAAGAGAAGCTGTTAGCGGTCGCTGTGGCCGATAGGCGTCACTACGGAAGTCTCAACATACTCTATCGAGATAGTTCAAGATGAAGATGATCCATACGACAGTGAGAAGACGAAAGTCAAGCTTCCGTTTCAGCTTCTTCTCAACTTCGGCTATTTCCTCTTCGCTCATGGCCTGAGCCTCTGCCATGCGGTTTGGTTCTTGGGTCTCCTTGAGCTGGATGGAAGCGGCATCTCCATCATCTCCAGTGAGCGCCGACGTTTCGCCGGGCACGGGGGACTTGATGTCCTGTTTACCGTTTGCTGCCATGTTGAAGAAGATTAAAAGGTTAATTTGCCAAGAACTCTTCTCGTGCTCGTGAAAGGGTGTAGAGAATTTCACCACGCAAGACAAAGTTCGCACTTAATGTCAGGCCAGCTGCTGAATTGTCGGCGAAGAGTGAGGCTCGAGGGCTTGAGGCTCGAAGTGGTTCTTGCCAAGTACAACTAAGCTTTTTATATATGGATGAGCCCAGATTCGCCAAGAGCTCTTAAGACGAATGTCAAAATGCCATCCAATGGGATAAATCTGGGTGGCAAGCACCACATTGGAGACGAGGCATGGGAGGCTTTCGTAGTACTCGGGATAATGCCGCAAGAGGTTCGAGCTTGGATGTGGAACCAACCAGCGGTAAATGTTACAGTGATAGCCATAATTGGCATCAAGGTTTCATCTGTTTCTAAACACTCTTACAAACGGACCGTTTTCATGTCAAGGATAGCATCACGCTGTACCAAATTTCGACAAGGCAAAGCCTCTATGTAGTCCTACTGTCTTCCTACGTAAGAAGCCACGATATGGCACAAAATTCAAGACTTGCAGGTCCACGGGTATCAAGAAACAGCGATATATGGCGAATAGTCAATGACCTATAGCCGAGGTTCCCCGCGTGAAGCTAGAGCCTAGATTGCTCCAAGATGGCGGAGCTTAATCAATACCTTCATCACTTTCGCGGGGGAGACACGGCTGTTCTACCCGATTGATCAAAAGCCTCTGCTGAGTCTGGGGACGTGGAGACTCTCAAGCTTGGGGGCCGGATATTTGCTGCAGGCTGCCCTGCGAAAGTTACAAACGAGACTCCATCACGACGACCCGTAATGGAGCCAAAAGCACATCGCGCCACTTATCAGAAACTAGCTCCACAAGGGTCTGTTCTTCTAAACAGCCAATGACCGTGATTTTTGTGGCTATTGACGTGGAGAATAGCAGCACATGTTCAAAGATTATGTCGATCCGTCGGTGTTTCGTCCTTACACCAGGTCTCGGCTTACAGCCGGTGCATCGGCTTTCGCCCGGCAGCCATAAAAGGCCAGCCACAACGAACAGAAAGTGTGGATTCAACTCCTGACCCCTTCTAACAAGTGCCCAAAATATATAAGGGATGGAACGACCTGCTTCAATGAGGATGAAGACTGCATTCACCCATGCTTGCATTGCTTGGAAATGCATGTCTGGTGCGATTGACCAGCGCGAAACGTCCTGAAAGGCTTCACCTGTCACAGAATATTGGTTATCGCGGTGCAAATGGGATTGGTTCCATTGGAGGAATAACTGTTCATGAGAACCTATGCTTCAGAGTCCACGATAGATCATCTCACTTAGCTATTACAGCTGCATTGCGCAACTTCAATCCATGGGCTCCAAAATGATCAGCATCATTGTCTCCCTGTCGTAAACATACTAGAATGATTAAATACGAACATCAAGTAAATCTTCCAGTCAGGTTGTTGAAGACGCATTGTAAACTGTCACATTCAGCGAAATTTGTACGGGGTCTGCTAGAAACTACTTGCTGACACATTTCCAACGCAGGAGGAGGATCATCATCAGATAGCACTTGGATATATTCCGTGAACTTCTAATTGACCCATTCAAAGCCTCCAGCTATTCAAACATACCATTCATGAGATGTACTTCACGTCTTGTTGATCTGGGCCACTGTCGGTTCACCAGAATTCGCTGAGGTTGCTGCAAATTTAGATGTGTATGCCACGTTTGAATGTTTTACTTTGATTCAATTGGAAGACTAGGGGAAAATCGAGGCATTTAGACCTCGACATAGCATATGCAGGGTGTGAGCATGGGATTTCAGTGCTTTCAGAGAACCTCCGAGGAAATTGGACCGTTCGTGCTCCACCCTCCGCTTCGGGTCGGCCCAGAAGTCCGCAATCGGGCTCCACCGTGTCCCCGACTACCCCGGTCCCATCGGAGGAAAGCACCGACGGTAGGCAGTCCGTTATTATTCTGGAATGAGCGAAGAACGCCATGCAAGGAAGCACAATGGCTCGGCACGAAGCCAGGTGACGTGTATCAACGGCCTCGTGATTGCCGCTCGTGCCACGTCGTCCATTTGACAACGCATCAACACAGTAGTTCGGACGAGAACGCTCAACAAATCCATGCTTTGACTTCCCTAGGTTTCAGCGATGTTTCCGGGGCAAATCCATTTAGGTTCAGCCATGTGGAACTAGTAGAATGAGGGGGAGCACAGCGGCCAAACGATAGTCCGGATGTACAATGTCGACTAAATTGGCCTAAAATACATCATTGACTTGCGGGCGTCTCGGCCAATTGACTCTCGCCCTGTCATCCCTTCCCCCCAACACTCACCCCGGATCGCCCAACACCACCACACTGGAAGATCACTCTCATCCGTGTTAGCGCCAGACATCTCCAAAATGAGAGGCAAGGGCACTTCTTCAGCAGTCATTTCTCTCACCGACGGTTATTACAACCTTGGATCCTTCGGTCGAGTTGTCAGCAGTAGCAGCAAAGATGCCCAGCTCTGGGCCAGTCGCGGCCTAACGTGGGCGTACGCATTCAACCACGACGAATCTGCACGATGTTTCGAACGGGCTATCAACTATGACCCCTTTTGCGCGATGGCGTATTGGGGACTCGCCTTCGTCCTCGGCCCCAACTACAACAAGCCATGGAAGGTGTTTGACGGCGAGGACCTGGCTATCACGACGAAGCGGGCTCATCATACCATCATGCAGGCCAAGGCTCATTCTGCTAATGCATCGCCTGTCGAAGTCGCTCTCATCGATGCGCTGATCTGCCGATACCCTCAAGAAAAGCCCTTAGAGGACTGCTCGAAGTGGAACGAGGACTACGCCCTTGCGATGGATGGAGTGCTCAAAGCTTTCCCCCACGATCTGGACGTGGTTGCCCTTTGGGTGGATGCCACGATGAATGTCACCCCTTGGAAGCTATGGGACTACAAGACAGGAAAGCCCACTCCTGGAGCCAGAACTCTCGAGATCAAAGACGTGATGGATCGTACCTTCAAGCTTGAGGGTTCCCTCCGACATCCCGGCCTTCTCCATCTGTATATTCACTTGATGGAGATGTCACCCACCCCGGAAGCAGCGCTCACAATTGCAGATAACCTGCGTGGTCTCGTCCCGGACGCGGGACACTTGGAGCATATGCCCACTCACTTGGACATTCTCTGCGGGCAATATCGGCGCGCTATCGCCTCAAACTCGGACGCTATTCACGCCGACTCCAAATACCTCGCAAAAGAAGGCCCACTCAATTTCTATACGCTCTATCGATCTCACGATTACCACTTTAGGCTGTACGCCGCTATGCTTTGCGGGCAATCGAGGGTCGCGCTGCAGACGATCGAAGAGCTTGAGTCGACGATTTCCGAGGACCTTTTGCGAGTTAGATCACCACCAATGGCCGACTGGCTTGAAGGCTTCCTGGGTATGCGGATGCACGCACTCATTCGTTTTGGAAAATGGGATGACATCCTTCGCCTCAAGCTTCCAAACGACCCTAGACTCTACTGCACGACAGTTGCTATGACTCACTACGCCAAAGGAGTTGCCCTTGCTGCGACGGGACGGGTTGGGGAAGCCGAGCAGGAGCGTCTGTTGTTCCTAGAAGCTCTGAAGCTTGTTCCGATCTCGCGGACGGTTTTCAACAACACTTGCCAGGAGACCCTGGCCATCGCGGAGGCAATGCTCGACGGCGAGCTAGCGTACCGCAAGGGAGACTATGATGCCGCCTTCGCGCACCTGCGGAACTCCGTGGCGAGGGATGACGCTCTACCGTACGACGAGCCTTGGGGCTGGATGCAGCCAGCACGCCACGCGCTCGGGGCTTTGCTTCTGGAGCAAGGCCGCGTTGAGGAGGCAGCCTCTGTCTACAGCGCTGACCTTGGGATCGATGAGACATTGCCGCGTGCGCAGAGACACCCGAACAACGTGTGGGCACTCCATGGCTTCTATGAGTGTCTTATGAAGCTGGGTCGAAAAGATGAGGCCATGATTTTGAAGCCTCAGTTGAACTTGGCTCTGGCTGTGGCAGACGTGCCAATCAAATCGTCGTGCTTCTGCAGACAGAAGACGGTTGATTGACAAATACGGCTACTGAGCCCGCCATCCCAGCGGAAACTCAGTGACACCATGATCCATGCCAGGTTATAACATTGGTTGCAACAGGCATGTCAGATATCGAAGGCGGCAAGTGAGAAAGCAGAGATTGAAACATGAATAAGAGGTTCAGGGGTTTGAACATAAAAGGATCTGCATTCACTCAAGACATCTGGTAAGAATGGACATAGCGTTACAGAGTATTTAGTCGAATTACATCGTGCATTTTCATTCACAAAAGCATGACTGCATTCTAATGGATATACCTAAAGTTGGGATGAAGATGTCCCAGGATAGCAACCTCGTCCTCTGGCAACCGCAGTCGATAGTCGCGGTCGCCTCGTTCGCGCCTTTTGTTCTCCCATGTCTGGTAGGCTACCAGGCTCAGAGATGCAACAATCACTGATGCCGCAGTAGCCGTATTAAGACTGTTGCCGGTTCGGTATCCCGTCTTGGCATCCGTGTTAATGTAGCTCCATGTAGCCGCGATGGAACCTGTAAGGCAAGCATCGTTAGCTTAGGTGACAGAAAGTAGCAGCATTCCAGGCCGAGACACTCACCAATGTTTGATATTCCAGAAACCGCTGCATTTGCGACGTTGCGCACTGTGTCTGGAGCGGCGTTGGACAACGACCAGCTGATCACCAAGACTCCAAACCCGTATCCCCCCGCCGTGTTGATGAAAATGGCAGCGTAGCGAGCCTGCACATTCTTCGAAGCCAGCCAAATGGAGTACCCAATGACATTCAATGTCGCGCATCCAACAATTGCATAGCCGTGCTTTCGCGTCTTCATCGTGATGTATGCCAGGCAGAGCGCGAAGACCATACCTACCAAAGGTGGCGGGACTGACAGTAATTGAATACCAACGGTAGAACGGTCAGGGTAGTTGAGTCTCAAGATTGTGACAGTGAAAATTGAGAGACCTTGAACAGTGACCTGGTTGCAGGTATACATCCATGTACACACGAGGACATTGACGTTCAGGATGCCACGCTTGATGAGCTTCCAGCTGATGCGCTCTTTGTGTTCCCGGATAGCGGGCTGGTCGTGGAAGATGCGTGCCATCGCCAGAGCACGCTCGTCTTCGTTGAAGATGCGCGTCTTTGACGGGTCGGCTGGAAAGAGGTACAGCGATAAGAAGCCGACACCTATGGTAATGATACTGGAGCCATAGGGTCAGCAAGGGCGCAACACAAGTGAGTTCGTTGGACAAACCCTTCGACCAGGAATATATTCCTCCATGAGTAGGATGAGCCGATTCGTCCCAGAGACAACAACCCGGATGCCAAGAGACCACCAAAAGCCGACGCTAGTCCAGCGGCTCCAAGCATGAAGAATGATACTCGGGTGGTCACCTCATTGCGCCGATAGTATCGTGACACAACATATGACAGCCCCGGGAATTGAAAGGCTTCTGTAATTCCGAGAAGAAGTCGGATCGCGAAAAAGCTCGCTTCATTGTGAATGAATGCAGTTGCGAGAGTCACGACACCGAAGGCGATACAGCTCAGAGGCAACACTATGTTTCCGAATCTTTTGACGCTTAGTGAGGCGGGAATGTCGGCAAAGAAGTAGATGCCGTAGTACAAACAGGCGCCAATGTTGAAACCGTATGTGCCCAATCCAAGGTCCGCTTCCATTCCTGCAACCTTTGCATTGCCAAGGTTCGTTCGATCGAGGAAGGTGAAGAAATACAAGACAAATATCATTGGCAGGACGCGAAGGTCCACACGACGGAGGAGCTTTGCTTCAGCGGCAGGGTCGATGACATAGTTGTGAGCTGCCTCTGGGTCGACATGCGTGCCTGAGGGGGTCGTGATTGAGACGATGTCTGCGTCGGTCTTCATGTTGGATTCCGACATTATGGTTGGACATGAAATGATACTCGTACGTTGCGTGAGGGAGTCATAGCATGGTGGTCATCGAAGCCGCTTTTCAATGCTTCGTACATGATGGGCTTATCAAAAGCGAGGTCGAGTGCAATACCCGCTTTGCCGCTACACCACCAGATGTGTGTCTCGGTTGGAATGGAACACACCGCACAGAATCGGATAATGGAGGTATGGCTGTACTGGCGATACGACCCAAGTCTCATCAGCCGCTCGGGCGGGGTAAGCCACCTACTCGAGGGATACCAAGCTGCAGGACCAACCTTGAAGACAATGTGCCAGCTTCAATCGCCATACAGGAGGAACAATAGGCTATCACTTAGCGTCCACGCCCGACTTATCGGTGCAATGTGCTTGCACAACGGTTACACAGCAGCTGCGTGCTGATAGTGACTGGATGGGGGCAAGGGGGGCACTGTGCGTTTCCTAGGTTCACGGGATCTTCATTCGCTGAGAAACTGCCAAGGTTCTGAGGGATGCACTTGCAGATCAGGGCGAGGTGAGATACCTATGGGGGGTATGTGATGTTCTCCAGTGCCACGGCTTCAAGGGCAATACTTCTGTCAATACCCCAAGTCCCCAGCCCCTGAGAATTGCCCACACGTCTCGGACGATTCAGAGGTAGGCTTTGGAAGACTTTGTCGATTCTGATTTTTCATGCGACGTTCTGCCACGCCGAATGTGGTGGTGGCATTTCACAAGCCGCAAGCGATCGGGTTCAAGCAACAAAAGATACCGATAATTGATCGGTTTTGGAAGCGATCACATATGCTTCACATGGGTGCTATCAAGCGGCTAATGCACCTTGCATCTTTTCCGGTTCCTTATCAGAATAGGATCTCGGAAGGTTGGTGATAGGAACAATTGTCTTGGCCAACCCCGCATCTCAGCTTTCGGAATGCAACACCAACCACACTACACTTCCAACGGAGTGAGAAGAGAGACGTAGAGTTTCTTACAGCCACTCAGAAGCAGACATCAAGTTACGTGATCATTGACGACCTGTTGAACACCCTGCCATCTGTCAGCATTCCTAAATCGCGCTAATAGGACCCGAAAAGATGACGGAAACAAGCACCTATCTAGAAGAAGGAGGTTGGTCGCTGTGTTTCTCTGTCCACGTAAATTCTATGTAGTTTATTGCTGAAAGCCGCTTGCAAGTATCTATCTTAATTGTTCCGCGTTTTCCACGTCGGAATCCTTTTACTCCGCTTGATGTATTAATGGTGGAGGCAGACCGACAAACATGCTTTCCGCCTAGCCTTTTCCTCAGCCCTAGTTAACGTTAATGGCGTATTCTGCAGTTATGCGTTAACGATGTAATGAATGTGTAGTAGTGTTAGTATTGAAGCACTGCTAATTAGTAGCAATAGAGTTAAGGTTAGTAAGACTCTTAGGCTTCAAATTACCTATACTATAGATACCTATAGGTACTTATCTAAATAGGTTAGGTTATAGGTATACTTAGAATATAAGTAAATAGGTTTACTAAGTATATAAGTAGATATTAATATAAGTATAAATAGAGATTCTATTTATATTTATAAGTTAAAAGTATATACTTTCTAATAAATATAGTAAAGTATTATACTAACTATTCTATTAATTATATAAAATTTATTTTATTAATAATATAAATTATTTATCTTAAAATAAGTAAGTTTATATTATAATAATTATTATAATAATTTTATAAAAATTATTTCTATATTTAAGTACTCTTTATATAATATAGTTATATTTTTATTACTAAATTCTTAAAATAATCTATTTAAATTAAGCTATTTTTTACTATATAGTTTTATAACTATTTTATTTTATTATTATTAATTAAGTCTTAATCTTAGTCTTATTCTTATTAATTTAAGAATAGTTATCTATTTATTTTTAAAGAGTATTATAAAATATTAAATTATTAGTATTAAGTTAATATATAATATCTTCTACTACTTTTTTAAAAGTATTTATTAACTTAGTATTAGAACTTTTTTTATTAAAGATTTTAAAATATTTAAAACCCTTAAGATTATAGCTATATCTAATAACCTTTTCTTTATTATTATTACTTATTATATTACTACTAAAGAGATTTTTTTATAGTTAATAGAAACTTTAAAGTTTTTATTATAGTTATTAGTAGCTATAATATCTTACTTTAGATTATTAGTAGTTTTAGTATTTCTTATAAAAATATTACTATATTAAGTGTTTTCCTTAATAATATTAGAAATATAAGGATTTCTAATAGAGATATTATTAAGTTTAATATCTTTAAACTAATTATTAATATAGAGTAACTATATAAGAATATTATCTAAAATTATATTACTCTTATAATTAAAACTAATAGTAGAAATTAAGTTTTTATAGTTAGTTTTTTTCTTCTTCTTTAGTTTTATTATAGCTTCTTTTATTATAACTCTCTTTCTCTTTTTTATAATATTTTACTCCTTTTTATTATTTTTCTTAAAAAGTATTATTTTACTTATTTATTTAGATAGAATAATAAGATTTAGCTTTAAAATATTATAAATTATAAAGTAAAATTAAATATATATAATATTTTTTTATTTCTACTTAATTTTATTATAATAAATTAAATAAATATAAGTAGAATAAAATAATAAAATAAGAATAGAATTTAGTATTTTTCTAAGTATTATTAAGCTATAAATATCTAATACTTTAGGATATTATATAAATCTTCTTAATAAAGTTAATATCTATAGGTTTAATAATAACTCTTTTAGTATAAATTACTATATATAAAAATATTAGAAATAAGTTAGTAAAAGAATAAAAAGTAAATAGATAAATATATTTTTAAATATAGTTATTAAGGTTACTTTAATAGCTTCTTAAAAAGCTATTATAGCTATAGTTTACTAATAAGATAAACTAAATATATTAACTTTATTATATATAATTTCTTTAATAAAGTGTTAGAAAGGTGCTTTAAAGATAAAGGTACTATAAGAGGCTTAATATTAATAAGTTTCCTATAAAGTATAACTTAAAGGATATTAGTATTATAATAACTAAAATAAATTATAATAATCTAATTTATATCTAAGCTTATAGTAATAAGTAAGT